TTACTATGGGATGTGCTTAGACTAATTCCATGTTCGGCACATCTCTGACATACTAACCTTAGGCTGAGGGATAATCCGCAGAGTTCAGGTTGGATTACTTTTGTATGGGAGTCAGATATGCAGATGCTATAACAAGAGTCAAGAGATAGAGACAATCTAAATGAAACACATCTGTTAGAATTAGTATGTAAAGTATGCAATAAAAGCACACTAATTTGGCCAGAGAATGCATCAGCCCTGCAGTGGACGGATGCTGGCACAACCAAAAACACTTGCAGTAGTTGGTTTGTTGGCAGGACTTTTAGCACCCAATGATTTGGTGCAAAGCTATCAGGAAAGTCTGTAGACGTAGCAACAATGTCAAAGTTTCCTCTGAACTTGTTTTCTTAACTTGTTGATGTTGCCCGAAGTATAAAGAAAATACTATTTGTCTCATGTCAAGTAAGTAGAAATGGGGATTTTTTTCCCCCTGGGGAGTAAAACGATTATAGATTGAAGTTTCTCACGCAACCTTTTAAATTTAGATTATTCATTTTCTCAGAAAAAATGTAATTATTTTTAAACCTTTGCATAATTGCACACTGTTGTGACACTTTCACATTTTAATAATTTGGTTTTAGAATTGTATACTATCTGTCCTGACCTGCGTTGTTACTATTAATATGCTGTTAAATTGTTGTGTTCTCTGATCTGTGTTGATGATTTCAATGGTTTTGTTAAGTCCTCTGAGATGACTGCTGTTGTGATTTAGGGCTATACAAGAATAAATTGAATTGAATTAAATGACAGCCTGGGACGGTCATGAAACCTCCTTGTATAAAATAGAAAGAAAGAAATCTAGAGTCTTTGTTCAACACATTCAATTACTGTAAATAATTTTTTTTACAGCCCTAATTAACAAAAGCAGTCGCCTCAATCGAACAATTACAACACAAGAAAGTCAATAACACAGAAGACATTGAGCATTAGTCTCATATAAACAGAGCTCAAATCTATGATCCAAAAGACTCAATAGTGCTGAAAATGAGGCTAAAAATAAAACTATTATCCAGATAGAAATGGTCAGTGATCTGTCGACATACCCTAGTAACACAAAGGGCCACTCCCAGCTGCAAATCACAGCAATATTAAGGAAACATGTCGACATCCAAATGGCTGTGTTTGGGTTGCGTTTGTGTGACATCAACCCTTCAAGAAAGCCTACAAGGCAATCTATCGTGGTGGTGCCAGGCATAGAGTTGTACTTAAACCTGCCACCCATCTGAAATTGAAACCAACTTAATATTACAACATGATTAAGAGATGGAGAATATTCTACAGATCTCAGCCTCCTTCAAGATGCGCTAAAACTCACAGAATCAAAAGACAAAGCAATAACAGTGACAGTAGCCGGTCTAAATTAGCAGCCGCCTCCTCGGTTTGGCGTTTGTTGAAGTGCTGGACCTGTATATATATATAATGACTTGTTCTGTTTTTTGAGAATTCAAAAAAAAATATAGCTTTATTCCATAGAGTATTGAAAACTGCCCTCCAAATGAAATGAACATGACTTAGGAGCTGGAGAATATTCCAAAGAACTCAGCCTCCTTCAACTTGCACTAAAACACACAAAGCATTAAGAGTGAGAGTCCGCGGTGACAGAAGCCGGTCTAAATTAGCAGCCGCCTCTTCGGTTCAACGCTGTCCCGGATGGAGCCCACCCTGACAATCTGACACAGCTCAGCCCAGCGCAGAGGTGAACTGCAGCGAGGCGCCAGATGGTGACACACTGGGGTTATTTATAGACTCTGAGGCATTATTAAGAGCTAAGAACAGAGAGAAAGAACAGCGACGCAATAAGAGCAACGCCCGCAGCTCCACGCGTCGATGTCTGGGCCTGTTCCGCGCCATTGATCCATTTGGTTTTTAAACTCGCAGCGGGAAAAAATGTCCAGGGCATCTAACTGTGCCGGACAGATACAATGCTTTCGGGTCAGTCTCGCCAGAGCGACTGTGACGAAGCTCAAAAAGAATATTGTAGAGGTTTGTATGTCATGTAATGTGTGTCTTTTGTTGTTGTTGTTGTTGGTGGTGTTTGGGGCGCATTAAAGTAGTGGCGGGTGGAGGCCTGCTGTGAAGCGGAATAAACACAGCACTTTTGCTCATTGCTCCTCTTTAGGGAAATATGTATTTAAAGGATAAAGATAATATTTATCCTAAGTAACAGTTTTTCACTTTGTGGTTAGCAGTTATGCCAAGCCTGCGCTGTTTAAGAGGTGATATTAGAGGCTATAGGAGTAGTATAAAAGACCCATTCTGAGAAAAAAAGACAAAGAAAATCTCAATCTGAAGACTTACAATTTTCACTCTAACAATATATTTTAGTGCAATTCAAGTATAGTTTCACCCATTTTTGAAAAAAATCCTTTTAAACATACTTGACAAAACATGTTGAGGACTGTAATTAGAGCAATACTCAATGTTTTTATTATTATAAATTCTCTTTTTTTTCTGGTTTTGTCAAATGGCCACTGCCGAAACAACTTTTATTATTAAAAAGCCTACGCAAAAGAGCTTATCCTCTTAAGCTCGCACGAGAAAAAAAAAACATCTGCTGGCAATAGCAGATGTATTTTGAACTTCATAATCCACAAGCTACATATAATTTTAAAGCTTATTTTCTCAGCTATATTTATATGTAAGTGTAAACGATATCAGACTTTGCATTAAAAAGATATAACGGGAGTGCACCCTGAGTCGGACAATTTGAAATGCTATTATCCTGAGTCGGACACGCGCACCTTTTTTGTCATGTTTTCATTTTATCAGACGTTTGCAACAACGGCCACGGGAAAGCTGTGGGTAAGCATACTCTACACATGTTAATGTTAATTTGTGCAAAAAATTGTTCATGAATGTGCTAATTTCATTGAGTAATCATGTTTTGAAGTAGCTTTTTACGGAAATGCTTGCATGAAGTGCTTAGGCGACGCTCTGACGACGCTCTGACGACAGGAGAGCTCTCATTTTCACTCTCTGTTTTACGGATTAAAAGGCCAAATTCGTCTGTTTTTAACGGTCACATTGGTAGATCAACTATTGTCAATGCACGTTACTAGTCTTATAAATACACAAGTGTAAAATTAGCTATATTAATTAAGTATTTACATTTTTAATCCTGCTGTCCAGTTGCTTGCTCTGAAAATCTAACCCGAGGAGTCTGTTCACAGATTCGGGGTTTCAAAAACACGCTAAAACATCAGTTTATGGATACTAGCAAGTAGCAAGTAGTTAATGGTTAGGTTAGTGCACATCTTATAAATGAATTCATATTAAAACATGTTTTTACCCAACATTCCTGCAAAATATAGCCCTCCTGAAGTCACAAAATGTAATTTAACGTCAGTTCCCCGATTATACTCCAACAACAGCGCCCCCTTGGGGCTCTACCACATAGCTATCATAGAACAAGTTTCTGTTTGAGTATTTATTATTATTTATAGTATTGCATTGCTTTATGTTTCTGTCTTTTTGTGTATTGAAGGCTAGATCGAGGAGAAAGACATAAGAGATTAGGAAAGGTTCATCTGGTTCCTGCTTACAGACAGAGACTAAAGCTCTCGAAACCTGCAGTGAGGAGCTCCAAAGTGTGGTCTGATGAAGCTGTGGAAGAGCTGCGCGCATGCATGGAATCTACAGACTGGGACCTTTTCAGAGCTGCCACAGACAGCTTGGATGAATATACGGACACTGTGACGTCATACATCCACTTCTGTGAGGATAGCATCATTCCAACAAGGACCAGGGTCATCTATAACAACGACAAACCCTGGTTCACTGCTAAACTCCGGCAGCTCAGGAAAGCAAACGAGTCTGCTTTCAGGGAGGGGGACCGCAGCGGCTACAAAGCAGCTAAATATCAGTTCAGGAAAGAACTGAAAGCAGCCAAGTCCCGGCACAGAGAACGACTACAGGAGCAGTTTGGTAACAACGATACTGCTTCTGTCTGGAGGGGCCTACGGGAGATCACCAACTACAAACCCAAAGCCCCCCCCTGTGCTGATGACCACAAGCTAGCTGACGAACTGAACTTATTTTTCAGTCGCTTTGATGCTGCCCCTGACACCTCTCCCTCCCCCACCCCCCACTACTCTAACGACCCACCCATCAGCCCTGCCCCCAGCCTAACAATAGCCGCTAAAGAGATTAAACAACTCTTCCTGAGGCTGCACCCCCGCAAAGCTCCTGGCCCGGACCACGTGTCTCCGGCCACTCTGAGACACTGCGCCAGTGAGCTTACTCCTGTGTTCACTGACATTTTCAACACCTCTCTGCAGTCCTGCCATGTCCCGGCCTGCTTCAAATCCTCCATCATTGTCCCCGTCCCGAAGAAGCCCAGGATCACAGGACTCAATGACTACAGACCTGTAGCACTTACGTCTGTCGTCATGAAGTCATTTGAACGCCTGGTTCTCTCCCATCTCAAGTCCCTCACCTCCCCCCTCCTGGACCCCCTGCAGTTCGCCTACAGAGCCAACAGATCTGTAGACGACGCCATTAACCTGGCCCTCCACCACATCCTACAGCACCTGGACTCCCCGGGGACCTACGCCAGGGTCCTGTTCGTGGACTTCAGCTCTGCCTTCAACACAATCCTGCCATCCCTGCTCCAGGACAAGCTCTCCCAGCTCAACGTGCCCGATTCCACCTGCAGGTGGATCACTGACTTCCTGACGGACAGGAAGCAGCGAGTGCGTCTGGGGAAGAATGTCTCGGACTCTCGGATTATAAATACAGGAGCCCCACAGGGCTGTGTTCTTTCTCCCCTGCTCTTCTCCCTGTACACCAACCACTGCACCTCCAGCCACGACTCCGTGAAGCTGATCAAGTTCGCGGACGACACCACCCTCATTGGACTCATCTCCAACAACGATGAGTCCGCCTACAGGAGGGAGGTGGACCGGCTGGTGTCCTGGTGCAGTGGTAACAACCTGGAGCTGAACGCCCAGAAGACAGTGGAGATGATTGTGGACTTCAGGAAGAGCACTGTCCCCCCGCCCCCACCCTCCGTGATGGACTCCCCCATCACCTCTGTGGAGTCCTTCCGTTTCCTGGGCACCACCATCACCCAGGACCTCAAGTGGGAGCCGACCATCAGCTCCCTCATCAAGAAGGCCCAGCAGAGGATGTACTTCCTGCGGCAGCTCAGGAAAGCCAAGCTGCCTGCACAGATGTTGGTGCAGTTCTACACGGCCATCATCGAGTCCATCCTCACCTCCTCCATCACCGTGTGGTTCGCTGGAGCCACAGTCAGGGACAAACAGAGACTACAGCGCATCGTGCGCTCTGCAGAGGAAGTGATCGGCCGCAGCCTCCCATCGCTGCAGGACCTGTACGTCGCCCGAGCTCGAGGCCGGGCTGGTCGTATCACAGCCGACCCCTCTCACCCTGCACATGGACTATTCCAACCACTCCCCTCAGGCAGGAGGCTGCGGTCCATCAGGACTAGAACCTCCCGCCACAAGAACAGTTTCTTCCCCTCTGCTGTTGGACTCTTGAACACTTCTTAACCTGTCCCCCCGCCCTTTATAAAGTCACTTTACTGCCCATCATACGTCACTTTACTTCACTGTACTGCTGTCACCTTACATTGTGTGCACCATGTGCTGCTGTCACCTTACATTGTGTGCACCATGTGCACTTGTATATTGTAAATAGTAACTGTAACTCTATTTTAAATTTAAATTTATTCTTTAGAAGTGTTTTTTATTCTTATTTTTATTATCTCTTTTTGACTGTTGCACTGAGCCAAAGCAATTTCCAAGTCTGTGACCTCCCGTTACTTACGTTGGCAATAAAAATGATTCTGATTCTGATTCTGATTCTGATTCTGAAAGGGAAAGATCGAGAGTTAGTAGGAAGGTAGGTGTGTGTCTGTGCTTTTGTTATCCACAGGACTTAAAGAATTGTGCAGAACATGACATGACATGGACACTGATAAGGTCACAGGTAACATGCACCACAATGTCTCTGCATGCCTAGAACACATTAGAACTTATACAATTAATGTACAATAGTTACAATCAATAAAATATAATAAGCAATTTTGTATTTTATAAATGTATAAATGTATTTCTTCTCCATAGATGCCGAGCATACGTGTAATCAGGAAACGACAAAGAAAGTTCCGTATTTGGAATCCGGTGGCCATGCAGGGGGCCATTGATGAAGTGCGGGCAGACAGGCTCTCTTATAGGCAGGCAGCTGTCCATTTTGGGGTCCCCAAGTCCACCCTGCGAGACCGAGTCAGTGGGAAAGTGGCCTCTGACAGCACCTATGGTCAGAGGCCACTTCTCTCTGAGAAAGATGAGAATGCGCTGGTGGAGTACTGCCTATACTCCGCCAGCTTTGGATTCCCACTGACAAAGTCACAGGTGGTGACCCACGCTCTGGCAATTTTCAACCGGCGCCACCCACAAACACCAAAGGTGGCGCTGAGCCAGACGTGGTGGGTCAACTTCAGGGAGAGACAAAAACAACGGCTCACCACCAGGACCCCAGATATTATTGACCGTGGGAGAGCATCCTGTGCGAAGAGGGGGCCTGTCGAGGACTATTTCAATCTACTGTCCTCGACAATGGACAGGTACGGGCTGAGAGGGAAACCCCACTGCATCTACAACTGCGACGAGACGGGGTTTCAGCTGGACAGCCAGAGGAGGAAAGTCGTCGTGCCCCGGGGTACCAAGCACACTTACAGACAGGCTCCAGGCACCAGGGAGCATATCACCGTCCTGGCTTGTTTAAATGCGGCTGGGGAGGATATCCCCCCATTCATTATCTACAAGGGGGGATATCCGGGGGGCCCTTATAATAAAGAAGGGGTCCCCAATGCTCTTTATGGGAAGTCACCGGCTGGATATATGGACAATGATCTGTTTGTGAAGTGGTTTAACCAGCACTTCCTAAAACATGCCACCCAGGAGCGCCCGCTGCTGCTGGTTATGGACGGTCATGCATCACACCTCGGGCCAGAGCTGATCCAGGCGGCACAGGGGGCAGGGGTCATCCTTTTGTGCCTCCCGCCGCACACGTCACACATCCTTCAGCCCTTGGATGCTCACATCCAATTTTTTTGGACCCTTGAAGGCAGATTTTGCAGGCACAACTGGGGATCTGTCGGCTGTGAGCCACTCCTTTACACTTTCCAAAAAGGAGTTTTCAAGGGTCCTCAAAAACTCATATCTGAAGATGAGGGATAGAGGCTTTGTGGTTGGAGGTTTCAGAAAGTGTGGCCTCTACCCCTTGGATCCGGGGGCCGTTGACTGGTCCCGGATCATGCCATATGGGCCTCCACTACCACCGCCTCCTCCTCCGCCACCACCACCACCGCCTTCTCCACCACCGCCTTCTCCACCACCGCCTTCTCCACCACCGCCTTCTCCACCACCGCCTTCTCCACCACCGCCTTCTCCACCACCGCCTCCTCCACCACCGCCTTCTCCACCACCGCCTTCTCCACCACCGCCTTCTCCACCACCGCCTTCTCCACCACCGCCTTCTCCACCACCACCGCCTTCTCCACCACCACCGCCTTCTCCACCACCGCCTTCTCCACCACCGCCTTCTCCACCACCGCCGTCTCCACCACCGCCGTCTCCACCACCGCCTGATTCCATCTTAGCCCATCCTCTGGTGGTGTCGGGAAGGATCCCCCCTGACCTGGCTGACCTGCTAATGGAGGTGAAATTCCATAGAAGCCAAGGCAGGTTAAGGAGGAACATTTCAAAGGCGCGCATCTTGACGGCGGAGGACATGGCTACCACCATCGAGGAGGCAGAAGACAGAGCTGCGAGGAGGGAGGCTCAAGCTCTGGCCAGAAGAGACAGAGAGCAGCAGCGGGCTGAAGAGATCCAGCTGGAAGCCACTTCCGCCATAGCTGGTGACTCCCAGCCCAGCCGCATCAGTGCAAACCCCGGGTGCTCATCTGCCAGTTCCGGACATTCTACCACCGGCCTCTCAGCCCCTCCAATCCCCTTTCAAACCTCCCACGGTCTTCAGCTGCCTTACTCTCCTCGAATACCAACTAGGAGCCTGCCTGCAGCACCGGCCCAACATATTCGAGGTACTGTGTTATTAAGACCATTCTTCATTTATGCATTTTTAAAAAATTCATTATTACTCAACTATGTGTCTCTGTGTTTGTTCACCTGTAGAACCATCTACATCAAGAGGCCCCCTAGGTCCCAGAAAACGAATAACTGCCATGCACTGTAAGTATTCCTTACTAGGATCTTCAATATTTAAATATTTACAAACAGAAAAACATCATTTATATCTGTTTATTATGCCTATATCAAATAAAAGAACGGGTAACATAAGTTTTTTTTTTCTTCCAGGTCTCCAGTCGTCCTCTAGCCCTTCCTCCACCAGACCCATGGCATCTGTTGGTAATAAAATAGAATAGACCATTGGAGGCATATTTCAAAGATATAACACTGAGACAGTCCGTATGTATGCCTATAGGCATACAATAGTCATCGTCTCAGATTCACATTGAGTGGAATTCCTCCCACTGTTTAATAACATTTGCAAATAGTGCACTGCCTCCCTAAAACCTGACACTACTGAAACTAGTAACACCATCAATGTCAGCTAGTGTTTGTTTGCCTAGTTAATTTAGTCTTAATAATTAAGATGTTATTAATGATTCTCCGTTTTTACAGCTACCCCGGCCAAAAGAGCCAAAAAAGGATGTGGAATGTGCAGAAAGGTGGATCCACCCGGCCAAGGAAAGACGGTGCCATGGGTCCAGTGTGACACCTGCCACAGCTGGTTCCATTGGGTCTGCGTGTCATGGGAGGAAGGGCTAGGGGATTTTATTTGTTTTTGGTGCCGAGACATGTAGCGCTATGATGATATGAAATCTTATCTTACATGAGTTTATTTGAATTATTTTTTAGTATCACATTTTTATTAGTTTACTTGAATATTTGATTATTTTTTAGTATCACATTTTCATTAGTTTATTTGAATATTTTTTATGCTACATTTTTAATAGTTTATTGGAATATTTTTTATACTACATCTTTATTTGAATATTTTTATACTACATTTTCATTTGAATATTTTTATTTTATATTGCATTTTTACATCTTATTGCAGGGGTTCCCAAAGTTTTTAGCCCGCGACCCCCATCGACCCCGCGACCCCCATCATAAATGCCCTGCTAACCCGGCCACCCGCTTTTAATGTGCGGACATCTTTACCTTTGACTCCGAAAAGCCGGGCCTCTTTAACGCGCTGTTCTACCGCTGCCCTCTCTCCCTCCGCTGCCCTCTCTCCCTCCGCTTCCCTCTCTCCCTCCTTTGCCCTCTCTCCCTCCTTTGCCCTCTCTCCCTCTCTTCGCACCATCAGCCTGACCCCTGATACAAGTGACTTTTCTCCCCCTCCGGGTTTTTCTGTTGTGGATATTAACCACGTTTCATTTTAAAGCAGGTATTATTTATTTGTAGCCTCCAAACACCTTTAGTTTTAGCAAACAACAGCAGGACACGCTTTGTCGCTGCGCATGATGTGAGCTGTGTTACGTGATGATTTTGATTGACGCTGCAATGACTGGGACAAAATTACTAACGTTATTAAAATATATTATAGTCATATTATAGTCAAACACAATTTAACAAGTAGTCCTTTTGAATCAAATCAAATGCTAAATAAATATTTAAGGGCTTTATATTTTAAAGCCCTTTTTTATATTAAAAAAAAAACTTCTTTTTTTTTGAGCAAAAAAAAAAATCTTTTTTTTTGAGCAAAAAAAATCTTTTTTTTGTGTGTGTGGAAATCATCTTGCGACCCCCCCAGGGGTTCCCGCGACCCCCCGGGGGGTCGGGACCCCCACTTTGGGAACCACTGTCTTATTGCATAGCATGTCTCACACAATAAAAAATTGACTATTTGAATTTCTTGTTTTTGCAATAAACTGTATGTAATATGAATTCACAATAATAACAGTTTCTACATACTGACAGTTTGAGCAGTAAAGGTGTCTCTAAAGCTGACAGAGAGCATGTGGAGGGATTTCTGTCACACTCTCCTCTTTTCGGCTGGTGATCATAGGAGAACAAAACAATCCGGAAACACTTATTTTTTCTGCTGAAAGTAGACAGTTTAGTCTTTCAGAATCTAGTCATAGCCATTATTATTATAGATCCATGGTCATAGCACACAATATTCTGTGGGTGTTGAAAATCAGTGAAATCATCGAAATGGCTGGTAGTCAATGAGCAAAGCCTCATAGTTTCTTGATGGGATTTTAAAATTTGCATTACAGTCTTAGGTGATGAAATTGTACAATAAAAAGACATGCAATAGAGAAAATATCCACTAGATGGGGTCATACACTGATATGTTGTAAATGCGTGTGGGGAAACACGGAAATAATTAACGCTAATGGGATAATACATATGAAAGTTATTCAAATTAATCATAAGACAAGGTCATAATAGGGATCAACGACTCAGATGTGAACTAAGTTTACGTTGCACAATATTAATCTAGCGCTAGCTACTGTCCGACTCAGGTTTTTAACACTAGGACCGCCGCGCTCTAAACATACCTTGCACCGCCCCCTGCGGTCAGTTGACCGCTATGTATTTTGCGCTGATACAGCCTTTTGCCAAATTGATTGTTCACTAAACCAGAACTTGATGTTGCAAAGGAATCGTGATCATAATGAAACTGTGTAAATTATTTGTCTAAATATGCTAAGTAATTGTAATTCTAGCCGAAATAAAAGGCTAAGATGACACATTGTGCGTGTACTGATCCATCAAGATTACGATGACTTTTCAGGCTAGATTTATTTTGTAACTTTGCAAACACCTAAAAGGTTGGTCACTATATGTTATATTTGACTCAGTAACAATATGTAAATTCAAACAATATAAATGATAGTTTAGAAAAGCACGGGACCATAACGTCTTCGCGCTGCTATATGCGTCTACTTCTTACGTCATCTCCAGACTGTTTTCTCTTTAGAGGCCGAAATCACCGTGGGAAACATTATCTAGATAATAATAATATTATTCGTATTGACACAAGATCATCAGCTAGGCTACCATCGTCAATGTAAAATCTTCAATTTTACACGGGACACGTTAGAAAGACAAATATATGTATATATATATTTGTATTTATTTGAGACAAGCAGTGCTCTTTATGCTCAGAACAAAATTATAATCCTTGCCTTGCAGTGCGCGCTGTGCAGAATAACACACAGTGTTATCTGGATGAAATAAGAATTATATCCTTATTGATATATGAGGGCCGCCTCTGCCCCACATTCCCTCTCCTCCTGCAGTGTCCGCGGGTGACGAGCACTCTGATCTGCACTCTGCCTTGATAGTTCATCGAATTGTTCTATTTTATTACGATATTGTATTCTGCTTTATTGCCTTCTTGTATGTATAAATATAATAATGTAATTGATGATGAATGAAAAGGCAGAATGGAGCGACAGCGCGCACACAGACACCTGCGTATGGCTGGTATTACGCGGGTCATGTGCGTTATTGCTTCTGGACTTGTTACAACACTGCTGTCCGTGCCGTGAATGCACTTTGGGTTTACGTTCAGATTTAGAATGTTATAGGTGTTCTCCCCGCTGTCACTTTCTACCTCAAAATGTGACATCTCTCACCTCCGTCAGACTGTTCTCATTCAATGTCTTGAAGCACTGTCAGCGCTTCATACCGTGTACTTGCAGCTCTATTCATTTTGTACTCCTCTCTCTCTCCCAAATAATAATAAAAAAGTCCCTTTAGAGTCTAATGACAACATATTGATACATTTTTATAAGGCGCGAAAAACCCCCGGGAAAGGTTACTATGACAACAGTCGCCCCTGCGCCATGTATCTCATGGGGAAGCAGAAAGGGCTGTGGTTTAGAAAAGTTAAAATGCGTGTAAATCTTGTTTTCTTTACTTTTTCCAAAACCAAAACACACCAAAATATAAACAACAAGTACCTAGAAAAAGTCATAAAATTTCAACTTCTGGCGTTTTGTTTTGAATACACTAATTAGCATAATAAAGTGAGTGACGGTCAGTTGACCGCTAGGGGCGCTCCTAGTGTTAAGCTGTCCGACTCAGGATAATACTTCCGGCTCGCGAAAATCATGAGGTTTGTGGTCTTCTTTGTAACATTACAAAACAACTAACAAAGACAATTGCCCATGTCATACACCATTAGAAACCTAAGAAAATGAACTTTAGTCTGATGTCAGTTAAATCAGCGAGAGGTGCAGACAAACAAATTTATGACCGGTTGAAGGTAAAAAACATACTCATTTTTAGCCCGAAGTGTCCGACTTAGGAAACAGATACGCTAACGCATAATATGGGCATAAAATAAATCGTGTTTGTTTAAGTTTCTTACCTTCGTCTTCTGCTGCTCCAACAAATTAGACTTTCCCCATCCTTGCTTAGTCTCTTTCTCTCTGTAAGTCTTCAGTGAAAAAGAATATCTACTTGTATTTCCCAAAGTATAATCCATTATTCAGAAATAATCCAAAAATGTGCATTGTTCTGTTGCAAAAAAAAAACGCTCCGGAAAATGTTCAGGCTTCTCTTTCACATTTCACCAAGTTTGAGCTTTGTTTAGCCACAAACATCATAACCACGTGTTCCTTGAGTCCTTAGCTTCAAAAAGAGAGGTTCCATGAAAAGATAGGAGCAGGTTTCAGTCCGCAGGACCCTTGTGAAAAAGACAAACCGCATCCATTTGCAGAGGGTCCGTTTTTGCCTTGTTGTTGATTAGCATGGCTAGCGCAATGTGCTAGCACTGAATGATTGACGTGTCTAAGTAGCCAATAAAAAGAGCTTTCTTTTGATGGGTGGGACTTGTAGGAACTCTTTTCATTTTCACAGTAAAAGCGTGCGTAAAGACGCTGTTAGTACTGCTGCGCATATTTTATATGCATTTACACTACTAAAAAATTAATTTTGAGAAAATGTAAAAGAAAATCTCACAGATTTGTAACTTATAAGTACCAAAACTAAAAAATATGATTTTTATGATGGTGAAATGTTAGTAAATCAGTTTGTTACTCCTAGTAAACTGTAAAAAAGAGGTTTTTAACAGAGAATTATCACATCAACCTCTTCTTTTGTCACATTTTGTCAGGTCTGAGATCCAAGTTACTATACCCTTCACTCAGTCCCACATCCACCAACCATTTAACCACTATATTGTGCTTGGAAAACGTTCAAATTGTCGACGACCAAACCTTTCCAAGAGCCTATTCTCGCATTTTTAAACTATGAAAACGTGTGTATGGTGTTTTGTTATAATTGGCGCGGAGCTGACTAAACAAACATAAATATACCTTCTTAATTGTGAGGAGTATACTGTAGCTTGCTGTGACTGCAGAAACAAACGCATACACAAAAGAAAGCGCTCTGGTGGCAGGGGGAAAAGCTAGCTTATTGAAAGCACTGACAGTGAAAAGTGTATAATGAAGTGGGACAAAGCCAGAGGAGTCTGATGTGAGGACAACAAACACGGCAACAAAGAGGCCATCGAGATAAGAGCGGCTTATTGGACAGTACAGTACGCAGATAACATCCCGGTCCACATCTACAGCGCGGCAGCCATGCAAATTAGAGTACAACAAGACACAGCCCCACGACATCACATGACCCCTTTGTAATTGTCATAAGCCGGTGACTCAGGCTTACGAGCACATTACACATCTCTGACAACGAACCACCACATGTAATTGTGCCTAAAATGGGTTTTGGTGGGCAGGCAAAAAGAAAAAAAAAAAAAATCACGGCTGGGATTCCAACTTCTGAGTCACAGAGAGTCAGAAACTTGAGGAAAATGGTGTCAAGTGAAAGAATAACGGGGAATGAAGTGTTTTGGAAATGCCTTTTTTTACTATGCGTGAGCAAACCGAATGCGTTCAGAATAGAGTGGGCGGCTTTCTGTATGGAGTTTGCTTGTTCTCTCCGTGTCTGCGTAGGTTTCCTCCAGTTGCTCCGGTTTCCTCTACCGCTAAAAACATGTACAATACAGTTGGTCCCATTTCGTTTTGTCGTCTTCACTCACGCTTTTTGGGAATCACGCAGCTGCGTGAAAAATATTACATCTTATCGCCACAAGGTGGCAGGTTAAGTCCGCTTTAGCTCTGCCAGCGACTTCTGTCTGACATGTGCCTTCTGTATGGGGACCTCACTCCCATCTGTGTGTAGAGAGAGAGAGAGAAATCCCCACAAAACTTTGTAAAGCTCTTTGTAAGTAAGTAAGTAGATACGTAATGTTTATTTATATAGCACATTTGGACGGACCAAGGTCACCCAAAGCGCTTTACAATGTTCAGAGTTCAGAAATTGTTCCATTCTCTCCACACACGGTGATGATGGAAGCGAGACGCCGAACACACTGGTGCCTCAAAGCCCCCAACCAATACCGTCCATTCCCTCATTACATTCACGCCTATTGTGCATGTTTTTAGTAGGGGAAACCGGAGCACCCGGAGGAAACCTACGCAGACATGGGGACCTGGCGCTATATAAATAAAGATTACTTACTTACTTAATAATGAGGAACAAAATGCTGAATACAAAAGGGATCATGCAAATGTACAGTATTTGACATTCACGGACCTCAGGTTGTTGACGGCAGATGCGATAGTTTCAGGCCACATGCTTGTACGAGGTTTTTGCTTTAGGGGACATCATCATAATTATAGGTTTACTTCAGCATCACTCACTGAACATTGTGAAAAGTGGGAAAACTTCGGCTCTGGACAGATGGGGACACTACAGAGGAGTGCTATTGCTGGATTCATGGGTTTTTAAAACGTGCCAGAAGGCATACTGTGCCTGTCATCAACTCACACCTGGATTTTACATTATTAACATTTAATAAAACAAGATAAATTGCTATACATGTGACAGTTTTACATTGTTCAATTATCTTTGTCTTTAAGGTGATGTCAGCCCATAAGATTATATTTAATTTACACCAATAATGTATATTTCTAAAATGTTCAACAATATTATAATTAAAACAGTCACTCCCATTAGCATAACTAGGATGAGTAAGATTAGCTGGAAGAGAAAAATTCAAACAATCAGAAAGGGACCTCAAGGATTTGAATACATTTTTTGACCAATCGGGAAGTTGCAGGGGTGAACGTGGGTGGAAAACCAAAACGAATCTAACCAACTTTAATCTTCAAGAACTTTCCCTCCCACTTCGCAATTTGCAAAGTAACTATTTTACAGGAACAAAAATAAAGATAATCACGTGCTTTGAGTCGGAATGCATAAGGCCAAACATCCCCTTTAATACATTGCAAGATGTTATAGCTTGACTTGGTGGTGTCGGTGTTGTGAGCCAAGCGTTTATAGAAAGAATAAAGTCAGATTTTCTTTCCAGCACTGACAATTTTGAATAACATTTGGGCAACTGCTGTTTTCTCCCAGGACTTCACTTATTAAATTCTGTTTCACCGCTGAATAACCGGTCTAACCTGCAATCGATGCACAAAGTCACCAAAGTCAAATTTTCACATAAAACTTTGCCCGTTTTTCTCCTTTACCTCTGAGTGCTTATCGGAAGACTTTTAAAACGCATAGATTTTGTTACAAGGCGTCCCAGAAGATGCAGTATCACTTGGGGAAGATACAATAAACCGGCGCAGACTGGTTCCACATGTCCCGAACACCAATCATAATTTCACTAGGACACACTTTATTCCTCAATAAAACATCAATCAATTTCCTAGCAATTTTCACAGCACTCCAGAGACTAACAGCTTTATCGTGACAATAATCTGGATTATCGCTTGTATTTGAAACATTTCTCATGGTTTCAAGGTTGCATTCCAAAAGTGCCTCTTCAACCCTCACTAATATGTCCATGTGAGCCTATAGTTTCACATTGTGGTGGAGGACAGCTGGAAAATCATGCTTGGTAACTATGGTAACTGTCAGAAATCATGGTCTTGATGTGAAGCTATTGTATAAGTACTACCTGCCAGTCCACATTAAATAAAAACGGTCACCACAAAAATCAACATTTTCTTCGTCAGTACATTTCAACTATGGTTTAATTCTTTTAACATAAAAGGTGTTTAGAGGATGTGACTATATTAAAAACGTATATAATAATAATACTAATAATAATAATAATAATATGGCGGGTCCACAGTCTAATCACTGTCACAAAATAATCTCGGATTTGGAAATTTACTTTTTCACACATTTCTTTCAAAAAAAAAAATTTTTTGATAAGGGTATTGGCATTTTATTTCACTAACTAAATAATAACAATTGTAAACCGCTTTGTGACTCTGGTCTTTGAAAGGCGGTATATAAATAAAGATTACTTACTTACTCACTTACTTAACTAAATAAAAATCCTAGATCCTATTAGGACAGATGAATGCAAATGACAATAAATGAAAGCACACCGTAAAAGTGCATAAAATAAAATAAAACTTTATTGATCTCACAATGGAGTTATTTACATACAGTCAGTGTTTTGAATTGCAGATATTTGATTCTTTTTTTAACCTTCTTCTGCCTTTTTACAGCCTTCAAATGTACAAAGCTGTTTTTTTATTTTTATTTTTTACAAATTGATATTCACAAGAGAACCAGTGATCTTGACAGCTGCCACATCTCGCTCTGTGTCTCCAGCTCGTATCGTACAATTCAAACGGTCGCACCAGCCTCTCTCCGACTGTTATTAAAAGTATATTCCATCACCAAGCTTTGCGTCACTGCCAAGTATGGATTGCAAAGCAGCTCAATTTCTCTCCCTCTGTGCTGCGTGATAACACTCATTGTCATTCCCGCTATTATTTGTGTGTGTTTTTTTTTATTTATTCAAAGACAAAACAAGCTCTAAGCAAATTACGAAAATAAATGGGGGCAGGCAGAAGTCCTTTTTCCACATTTGAAGCTAAATGCTGAGCGTCATTCCAAATTAATATCCGTGACTCCTTCTGTTATTATTAGGTCAGCTGTTTGTCGTAACACAGATTCTATTGCAGACGACAGTGTTTTAACATTCATTTATCGTGGACCTATGACTTGAACATTATTGGAAATCATGCGGCCGTCGTCACTCGTCTGCACTGATAACTTTCCACTGTGCTGGGTTAAAAGGGTTCCTCCGCAATTGTAATTGAAAAACAACACATTTGCATAAGTAATCTTAATAAATTAGACGCAAGACATGGCATTTGTTAATCCGTAGTAACCCGAGCCACGAGAGTCTTCTGGTGTCATGCAATTTGTCACAACACGAATGATGAAGGGTTTATTCATTTATTTTGCGGCGTTAAAAGTGAAGACGGTAAACACACAAGAGTTATTTTGTAAGAAGTGTGTGTTTGTATGTACAGGATGTGAGGCATGGACTAGAATACAGGATGGATACTTTAGTTTGGGAAACTGTTGAGGTTTTTATTTATTATTTATTTAGAGGACTATTGATTTGTATGTCCTGGGTGTGTGTGTGTGTGTGCGTGTGTATTTGTGTTCCGTTGCTGAGGAAAAATACCAGCGCTTGAAATTTCGACAATGGATTATTGTTATCATTATATCTATCAATTATTAATTCTATTGCAACCGGAACAGATGGATAAATTATATAAACACAATTAGAGAAGACATTTGTAACTTCTTTCCTATTTGTGTAAAGCAGATGTTTATAGCAGCACGGTGGCAGAGTGGTTAGCGCTCTCACTGCTCAGCAAGAAAGTCCTGGGTTTAAATCATCTCCGTACAAGGATATGCAGACATGGGAAGAACATGCAAATACTACTCAGAAAGTTTGTGATAATGTAATTTGACATTTCTCTTCTTAATGCAATAAAATATGATTGATAAATGTTTGATAATTATGATTATGTGAGAGACTATTTCATTTATTTATTCATTGGTTAGCTTTTCTATTTAAAATACATTTCAAGAACTCAATTGAATTAATTAAATCCCCCTATTTACAAATAAAAATCATTCTAATCATGCCTGGCTTTCACCTCTTTCGAAACTACTTATAAAGAAGCAGTAATGGCGCAACCAATGAAATGAATGAATACAAAACTTACACAATATTACTTCAAGCACTGGGTCTAACAGCAGATCCAATTACCGGTGCCTATGAGAAGGCAAAAAGGGAGTCAGACGGCTGAAATAATAAGGCTGCAATGAGACAAAAAGAAAATGAAAAAGTGGGCACTGGAGCTTGTTTATGAGCCGCTGCCCGGAGAGAGGTCAGCTGTGGCCGCCAGACAACTACTAATCCCCCATTACTCTCATCAGGCCACTGGCACGTCCGAGCGCTGCCTCTGCTGCTGCGGCTTCTGCGGCGGCTGGAACTGTCATTTCTTGACATTTGTGAGAGGTACCAAGAATCTGCAGCTGCTGACGCTGGGGGAAAAAACGCTGAATTACCAGGGCCAAGTAAGGGGAAGAGACGGCGTTGTGAGGAATAGGAAGCAGTCACATTTGTATACGTTATTTATGAGTACAGTGGTGACAAGCTAGTGTTGCCACAGCTGCCCTGGAAAGCTGACAGAAACAAGGCAACCAGTATGTGCCATTGGCCCCTCCAACTACCACCAATTACCCCCACAGACACTAGATTTATAATTGGCAATGTGGGTGAAGCCGCCCCACTGTGGCACCTGATGTTCCTAGAGGTCTCCCATCACTGCACTAACCAGACACGGCCCTGCTTAGCTTTGGTCGGCCTCATATGCTATGGCTTATGGTAAAACCGCTGTGAAGAAAATGATGAAGAGCCTCCGAGTAAGCTACATTTGTGCAAAACCAGTCCATATAGAAATTGACAGATTAATTCAGGATGAAAAGATAAAAAACATGGTCCAACAACAAATGTGGAGAAACATTGATAAAAAAGGGTATGCATTTATGTATTTTTTTTTATTCAATGGAGCCAGGAAGACGAGCTGGTTCTAATGCTCTCAGCTAACTGGATCCAAATAAATAGTAGGGCTGCAAGATTAATAGCAGTCAAATTGAAATAGCAATTTTAGTGGCGGCAATGAGCAAATCGCAAAGACTGCAATTATTTTCACAAACGGCAAATCATCAAAACAGCGCATAATTTCTTAATCTGGCTTTCCCTGTGTTAAGAGCTCAACCAAGAAAGCTTAGAAATACATGGATCACTGCAAATGTCCAAAACAGGCTAATGAGGGTAGTATTTATCTTAATTGTAGTGCATTTTGACTGTTTCATGCTAATGGGAAAGGCCAGTGTTATCTAACTTGGTTATATATAGAGTGAGATCTTAACACTAGGACATTTGAGGCCACCATTTTGACTCCACCCATTTAAATCAATGGTTTAAGTTTTATTCAAATGTACTTTTACTCATTTTTAAGTGCTACAACTGGTGAATATAACTTGAAATACAGAAAAAATATAGTTTGTTGAAAGGCTAATGCTAACTGGTAGCATGTAAAAAGTATGTTGCTATGGTTTCTAGCACTTTCTCTTCACTACTTAGAAATGAACTACATAAAGAACCAGATAAAGGTCACAAAGTTATGAAGATCAATGTACATGCGCTGAGTAACTACACTTCCCAGACTAAAAGCCGTCAAATTGACTGCTCTGGGCGTTCTAGTGTTAACGTGAACATTTGCTTGTAGAAAAATTA